GAACCGGTTCAGCTTCCTCGGACGGGGCAAGACGGAGCGTGAGTGTTGCGGCGGGGATCTGGCTTATTATTTGACAGAGCCTGGGGCTGCAAAAACTGCCTAGATATTTTGTAGATTGTGGGGGAGCGCGCCTTTTTAGGGGCTGTGGTCTGATACCACCATGTTTCTTTAGAAATAAAGTCCGGTCAATTACAATTGTTACTCTTCTGTTGTGACAGGATGAAGCCCCTGGGATGGTTAGCTACCCAAATTTAGGCACAGAACTCGTACGTCGTGTATGTATGTGTTTGTGTGTCACACAGATTTGATAGAGCTCCATCATACCACCATACCAAGAAAGCCAAACCCAAAGAAGTTAGTGGATTAAACTACCTCCACAGAGCTCCCGTCTCGGTTAGCCCGGCAAAATACGAGCAAAGACATCTCGTACTCTTTCAGCCAATCAGAACTTCCGCAATCATCTCCACGGCCATCTAATTCCACGGAAATCGAACAGACGTCCAGACGTCCAGACTTCTCTTTCTTTGTCCCCGGCCCGGCCGGTGAGAACAATTAAACCTTTTTTCCCCGTTCGAGAGGAATGCGACCGGGTGACTTTGTCTTCAGGCCCCGCAGCCGCAAAAAGCTGGGGAGAATGAGTGGCGGATTTTGTGGCCATTTGCCACTTGGGGTTCAGCCAGGACCGGGTTTTCGATCCTGATCATCAGTACGGACGAGGGCGGAGCGAGGACCTTTGGTGGATGAGCACGAGTAGATCCAGCATTCCCGTCGACAAGACATTTCATAAGCCACACTTTGAACCACACACATCGTCTTCTATCGAGTCCTCGAAGAGTATTTTTGATTCGCTAGCGAGTGATAGTGTCGAGTACTTGTATTCGTGACAATGATCATCCCCGGAGTTCTTTTGGTCATCGCCAGACCTGCCAGTAGTGCTTCTAGGACCAGCCAGATCGGAAAGTGATCCTGGACGAGGAGTCAAGTTTTAACCAGGACTTGCTGAGTTTGGGGGGTCCAAGGTCACCGTTTGATCGGGTTTCAGGGTCTTCGTATGTACCTCCCGTTCCTCGTGGTATGCACGCGGCAAGATGCCGCTCATGCTAGAAATATCATATTCCTGAATCCCCGATTGAAATCCCCCACCGGCCTGTGCAACCAACATGGGACTCTGGCAGCAGAGCGTATGGTCGAGACTAAAATTGCGCTGAATTTTGGAAAGGGCGAGATGATACAGACGTTGGGAATTTGCGTGACTGAATGACTTCAAATCGGGGTGGTACCGTCCCCAACGGTAATTTGTTTTGGTGGTGAACTTGCTGTGTCTTTCCATAACTCATCACTCAGAGCTGGGCCCTGATATCCCTCTTGAAAGAGTCTGCCAGATCAGCTGCCAGCCTAAGCATTTGCTCGTTCCCGCCGTCGCTGAAGAGGTGTGCGATGCTTTTCCGTTGTTCGACTTCGTCGCTAGACGACCCTCTGCATAGCTCGTAATGGAGCAGGGCTGCACAGACGAGACGCCCGAAGCGTGAAACATCCCTCAGAGCGATGGTTTGGTGCAGGAGTCCTCGAAGAGTGGCTCGGAATGGAAGTTGAATTGGTGGAGTGTGTGACCAGGGGAAACAACTCGACCAGCCCTTCGTGTTTTCCGCCTCCCACAAAATATCCTCACAAGGCATTGGCAGGGTCGGCGCCTCGAGATCGGGCAGAACTCTGTCGTGAAGGAACACAGATGCCAGATAGTTTGCTGCCTGTCAGAGATTCAGTACCCATTGTTCGGTGAAACCTCCCGGATGAGAACATACCAGATAAGCCCATGCGAGTCGCCGCGAAGTCTCCTCCTCGACCCACGCAAGCCAGCGGTGGTGCAGTTCAAGGTCGTTCCCATTCTTTATCTGAGCCATACAATCACAAATGGTATTCTTGTTCATCGGAACCACCCGATTACGACTCCTCCTTCCAACCCGGTTGTCTTGCTGGCGAAAAAGTCCAACCTTTTCAAGGCAGAAAATGTTGGCGTCAAAGAGAGTCGTTAAGAGCCGTGCCTGCTGACTGTTTCGGCTGCGTATCGCATGGCAGAGAAGAATGCACACCGCGGCCAGCACGGACCCTTGGACGTTTCGATCGTGCCCTTCGCAGTCGGCTGAAGTCTGTAAAAGTTCACTGAGCTTGAGGATTCCTTCTTGATGAAACAGCCGACTTTGGGCAGATTCCGCGTAATTGGCCCCCACTACAGCAACGACTGCAGCAATTAGGGGTGAACAGGTTACCGGCTTTACCAGATGCCGGTGTAAGATGGGACAATGCTGCTATTGCGTTAGTGTAGGAATTCGCCGCACTTCAGAGATGGTGAACTGACCCTGTCAAAGTAGAGAAAGTACAAGTCCCAGAAGGCCGAGAGCTGAACTGAACTCGGGAATGTAGAAGGAACGTCAGTGGCCAGTCCACTTTGACTAAGAGAGGTCTGCTGCATGACTTGATAGATCCTCCGGGCCAGACTTTGTTCTGGTTCAATGGCGGGTTCGCTGCCAGCCTCAGATACGGAAGGCTCTACGGGACCACTAATAGACCTGTATATCTCCTCGTAAACAAGACTGGGCGCATTTGCAATGGACGGTTCTGGTGCGCGTTCATGGTTTGGTGAGCTTCCTCGACCTTGTAAGAATTCACTCGACGGTTGACGAGTCTGAAGTGGCGTTCTGGAGGGCTGATGAAATTCACTCCCCACGGTGACTAGATCTTCTGGCATGATGGTAAAATCCGGAAACCCTTCATCCGACAGGTTGGGCATTTGGCACTCGGACGTTCCGTGAGATGTGAGGTCCACAGCCTGAGGGTCTTCCATATCAAAAAGAAGATCCCAGTGTTCTGAAGACAGGTGCTCTGGCCCGGATCGTTTTGGACCAATGTCATGGTGTCTGGTCAACCCAGAATCAAGCCTGAGGGGTGTGAAAAGACCATGACTATCTAGGCCATGGTTTTCACTTGTCCGGTTGAGATCATTGTCATCGCGATGAGCAGTTATCACGATTTGCTGTCCGAACGAACCATCAGGTTGACATACCTATGAGCCAGTAACGGCACGTTAGTAACGAGGCAAGATCGGCTGATTGCTTAGTAGTGAACACTCACGAGCGTGGGGTCATCTATGTCGCTGTTAGATTCGCGATTCCAGGAGAACCCCCACTGTAGCAAGGTGAGCATAGCGATCTATCGAAGTGGCGCGCACAAACCAACCTCTAGACTTGCTTGATTCTCCAGACTGGACGGTCTTTGAGACTGGGCTGGTGCCATAGATGTCATTTGTTGTCCAGGAGAAGTCCCAACTTCCTCGACCTCTAGTCTGGCACGCTTGGGAGGCGAACGAGGGGCCTGGTCTTCTCCAGGTTGCCGCCTATTGTATCCATTCGACTCTGTGTTCTTCGAAGACGGCTCGAAATTATACTGGCAGAGCAATCCACTCTTGCCGCATTCCTGGCAAGTCGGTTCGCGTGTGCACTTGACCTTGTGTCTGCATCCGTCAGTCTTGGTCGATCCGGACGACGAGTTGAGGACAGTCTTTTAAACATACAGCGCGCAACGAAGACAGCTCTTTCGTCGTGAAGGCGGATTCATCTTCTGGAAAGCGGATTCTCCATGCTGATGGCGGATATGGCGCCTTAAAACATCCCTTCGTGCGAAAGACTTGCCGCATATGTGACAGGCATGGTTGGGCGGCTTATCGTACGATGCTAGAGCAGTCACTGAACGTGTAGAATCGTGCATGGTGACCGATGTCCTCGACAGAACGAGAGATCGGAAAGCAGGAATTCGACTGACTCGGTACAACCAAGAAACAACGACCCCACGGGGGCATAAGGGCACTCACGAATCTAGGTCACGATCCCCTCAAACAATCCTCCCCCAGTCGCGGCTCCTCAATTTTCCGGACGATAATTACGTGGAAATGTGGAAATCGGAGCGTCGCTACCGTCGTGATTGGCGACGCTGGGCCTTTTGGAGACCCGCCTAACAACGGCAACCTGGAGCCGAACCTGTAACCTGGGGATCGCCTAGCTGTACGAGGACTTAAGGGTCCCAAGCTAGAGTCTTTAGCGATGACTGCCCCCAAACTATACCTAGACAATGCCCCCTTCCCTCTAAAAACCCCCTCCCCACTCCCTTCCTTCTTCCCCCAACGGTGATGCTTCCCGGGCCATGTTCCGAGGTAGAAGGTATGGGATCATGCAATGAATTATCTGTCTTTTTATAGGTGCAAACTTGGTTCACAAATTCGACGGGTGGATGTGACTTGTTCGACAAGAACGATCTCTTTCGTCAAGTTGGTCCCCAGTATTAACATACACAACTTGACGAAATGACCTTCGAGACAGACATTGGCGCTTTGAGGGATCGCAATCGAGAGTTGACCGAATCCCTCTCCACGACTCGACAAAGACTGGTTGATATCACCAACAATCTCAATCAGCTCACGGATTTTGTAGACCAAACCTCCAGACCACACTCATACTCGTCAGCCTTGGGATACACTTCACCCTTTCCTCTCAATGCGATTCCTCCCCGTAAGAGAGCCATCATGATGCTTGATGATGTCGTGGCCTGCTATTCAACCCACTAACGAAAAGGGATGTTAGCAGCTCCCAGGTTGATCTATCCCACAGTGGAGAATGGTGGTTATCATTCAGGTCTTCTATCAGATCTTTTCGTCGACCACGGCCACGAGCCGACGACTTTTGCACATCGAGCGACGAGATCGCCGCCCAGCGTCTCACAGCAAAGAGCCATTTCGTCTTCCCACTCTGAGGAGATCACGAAGCCGTTGAGTGACGCCTCGAGCAACTATCCTGTGGGCAGACCTTCCGATGCCTGTTTCGACATCATCCACCATGAAGGACTCGTCCGTCAAATAATGGTAGAGGAGTTTGCCGAAGATCCTGCAAACTGTCAGAGGTACTGTATTGCAACAGCCCTGACCTCCAAGTCGAGACGAAACCTGGCTAACCATGGCGGCTCCCATCAGTCTCGACAGCCTTGTAGCCAGAATGCTACAGTCCCTTGCCTCGTCTGAGAAATGGGAGCGTCATCGTGACTTCTGTAATGCCCTCAACGGCTGGGACAAGCTCGGCCCCATCACTCGGTGGCGGATCGAGCCATCGGCCAAACACTACATGCAACTTGCACCGGACTACCGTCCAAGCCGCCTCCAGATGACCAGGCATCATTGGCCCATTGTCGACTGGTTACCATTTCCCAAGATCCGGGATGCGCTGGTCCTCAATCCCGAGAGGTACGACTTGAATAAAGTCTGCTCCGAACTGAATGCGAGCTTCTGTTTAGAGATGGAGTTTGCAAACGCGTACCCGGACGCAGAATTAGGCGACAGTGGAATGGCACAGACCAGAGCGCCCGGAACCACAAGGTCAGTAGGGCCTGGTGGACCGACGAGGAGTCCGCCCAACAACATTTTCAACGACACACATTTGAGACGAAAGCCTCGTAAAGACGACGTGGTGTACGTCCTTATACAAGAGTACGTCGACCACAGGACAGGCGCCGACTCTTCAACAACAACGGCAGGAGGCCAGAGCCAGCAGCACCGCCATATCAATGAAAACATCTTGACATACTTGCTCCTGGCCATCAGACAGCTCGAAAATCCTTTCAAGCTCCATTCGAAATTTTTCGACCAGTTTCCCGGCCTCCCACGAGAGTACATGGTCCGCGGTGAAGAGGTTTCCATCTTTGGTGACTACCGACCCACAAAAGTCTAAAATACCAAACACAGATATCCTTTTCTTTCAGGAAAAGTGTATCGACATCGAGAAGTTCTCACCAAGGCTATGGCGCAACAAAGCGGTGCGATTTCATGCGACAGGTGAGAGTCTCGGGTACTGGGCTACGTGACTGCCATTCGACTGGGAGAATTGTGCAGCAAAGGTACTCAATCCATTGGGCTCGATTTCTGTATGTAAATTTTCAACGGCACAAGCTGGTTTGCGAGTGTGTTGATGTGTATCTAACACGTGAATAATTTGATGGTCACACAGGACAGACCGACACTTGACAATGATGTAAATAAAAGGGAATGATAGGCCTCCTTCATGACCCCTTGTATATTGGGACGGCCTGGATTGAAGTTGTATCAAAGCAAATCGCCGGTAGTCATCCAAACCACGTCGAGCCGTGGTGACTTGTGCTTGGTAACTTCAATGTAGATTGCACCGCCACACCACTGAAAGCTACTGCAAGGAGGCGGGTCTCCTGTCCCACCTTGTGATATCGTGCTGTCTTTGGGAGTTGATCCGAGGACATTTTCATATACATACCATCAAGTCAAACATTCTTTGTTTTCGTTGATTGGGACCCTGAACATCATAGATTTATAAAATGTCGCAAGGGCAAGAACGTGTCAACCTCGAGACACCCCCAAAATGCACCGCCGACTTCTGTCTCATCCCGCTCGGCACACCCACGGCGTCGGTCTCGGCAGAAATCGCAGAGGTCCAGCGCTTGATGAAGAGGAGCGGATTGAAGTATAGCATGCACTCGGCTGGCACAACCGTTGGTGAGTGGGCGACAGGATCTCGGACAACGGCACAATAGGTCCATCTTTTATATGGTTCTCTGCTAATCCCTCCGTCCCCGAACAGAAGGATCATGGGACGATGTCATGCGGTTGATTGGACAGGCGCACACTCTTCTGCACCAGAAAGGCATAGTGCGCATTCAGAGCGATATTCGTGTAGGATCTCGTACGGACAAAGCACAGACGATGGAGGATAAAGTCGCGGCGGTGGAGAAATTGCTTGCTGCGGACAAGGCGTGAAATATATACCCTACAAGTACTGCGGACAAAGTAGTAATCACTCATTGACCAAGTCAATTCGAAGATTGGGTGACAAGTCCCACGAGATCTACACACATTAGGAAGAAACAACCGAAGAAACTGTCCAACGAAAATGAAGCTGGCAAAGAGGTGCGTCGGATTCAGCTGGGATGGTAGAATCTGGATCCAATCCTTTCACCTTGCGCCACAATCACTGTAACGCCACAAATGTGGCTTTCGCTACTGTGGCGCCGGGGGCTGTGCCACTTGTTTTGAAAGTGATTCCCCAGGGCGGCCGCCGATCGCACCCATCGTTGGGTCAAATCAGCCAGGAACACGCAGCTCGCCCTGCAACAACTGTCCATTTAATTGGCGACAAATGGCCCTCATCTTGCCGCCCAACTCCCTTTGGACGTTTCTTTGAGACAGATGATGATACTGTACAAAGGCCTCGAGCCCATCATCTTTGTGACTCCTTGTCGTTCCTCCATTACTTGAACCTGCCCCTGCTTTGTTTGACCGAAACTTCCTCCCTCCCCCCAGCCATGCTATTTCCACCACCAGTCCCCGACAAGCGGCTGGACTAGAGACAACTCTCACCGCGACTCTTTCCTTCTTAAGCAAGACTCTTCCCTCGTCATTCATCCGCCCGATATACCTCGTCCTCTCGCGATCGACTCCATCTTCACCCTCTACAATTGCCGAACAGACCTAAAGCCAATCGAGAGCCATCCAGGCAGGCATGGCTGCAATTACCCAGACAATTGCAATCATTGACCGGTCAAACAAGGTTGTCAGCACTACAAAACAATTGAAAAATGTCTTCAAGGAGGCAAAGATGGCCTATTTGGAGCGGAAGGCTGAGATTGCGGCGGAAAGAAAGGCAAGAGATGAAAAGGAATTGAGAAAGGCAATGAAGAATGTGACAATAGCGGAGGATACAAGGTCGGAGGCATCCCGAAGATCACGCAGACATCACAGCCACAGCAACGAGGTCGACCATGGTCGATATCGAGCTGCAGAGAGTCAACACCACTATCCTCCCGAATATTATCACCGGGATGCTCATGCAGCTCCCGAGGTTGCAGCTCCTATGGCGCCGGAAGAAGCCTTCCCTAGACATGTCGGTCTTGCAGAGTTCAATCAAGAACTCTACGGTCACCACAACCCAGTGTCACCAGTTCCGGAATATTCAGCTCCTCCATATGGAGGGAACGGGCTTGTTCGTCGGACGACCGATTTACCACTCGACGCTCATCGACCACATCGGCCCCCGCCTGTGCGGTCCCACTCCGTTTCTGACGTCGACATGGACCTTGCCTATGGTGAATTTCACCCGGAGTCTCTGATGCTGGATCCCAAAGTTGAACAAAAACTGCAGAAACAAGAGATGTCCAGCCTGGTCCTCAAATGCAAGATCCTGATGGAGGAGGCCAATTGTGCACAGCACAGTGTCCGCGCTATAATCTCGCATCTGCAGACAAACCCAGACTCTATGGCAGCTGTCGCCTTGACGTTGGCTGAGATTAGCAACTTAGCAGCCAAGATGACACCTGGTGCACTTGCGGCTTTCAAAGTCGGTGCGCCCTCAGTCTTTGCGATGCTGGCAGCTCCGGAATTTCTCATTGCGGTGGGCGTCGGTGTCGGAATCACTGTTGTCATGTTTGGAGGCTACAAGATTATCAAGAAGATCAGAGCCCGGGTTGGTGACAAAGAAGAAGACGCGGTGGATGAGATGCTGGATGTCAAGGAACTCGATCGCATCGAACACTGGAGGCGTGGCATACCGGACGCCGAGACGGCGAGCGTTGCTACAAGCGTCGAAGGTGAATTCATTACTCCACTGGCAGCAAGAAGCATGGGCCACCTGCCTCTTCCCCGAGAACATGGGGGAGAAAAGCACAAGGAGCCGAGGACAGAGTCCAAGAAGAAGAAACATCACCGGAGGATCGATGACGATCCAGATCGAACGGTTGTAGGAAGCGAGAATTCGTCAAAATCGCGACGGAGCAAAGGAAGCAGCAGGTCGGAGAAAAGAGAAAAGGCCCTTGTCAAAACCAAGAGGCCGAGCACGCTAAGAAGAATGTTCCTTACCAGAGAATCAGAGGTTTCCTCCCGTCGATGAACTGGGAAATGCAGGTGTTCTGTGTTACTCTAGCATTGAGCCAAGGATTTGGGTTTGCATAGATGAGGTTATGACGCGACGATGGTTATGGATTTGTTAGATACCGTGCTTGCAGAAGCGAAATCGCACTACATGTGTTTGAATATGGGACTGAAAAAGTTATCCTGCTTGAGAAACACCAATATCTATATGAGAATCACATGACTCTGAATCACGTGCTTCTGCGGCGAAATTTTGGCGACTCGGAGATGGTTTGTTCTCCCATTTATCGCGAACTAGTCGATCTTCCTGTTCATGCACTCTAAAGGTTTTCCTGGCCTTCACTGTTGAAAATTCCTTTGCTTGCGGTGTACTTAGAGCGCAGTAACCCTCTTTCATTCTGGTCCAATTCTGTCCAAATCGGACAGACCTTTCAACCGAACGTTCTATCCGCTCGAGGGCTGCGACGATAACTCGAACTCTCCAGCACTATCAATTCCTTTGTCACCGTCCGCGCTACCTCAACGCGTGGGGATAGGCACAACTAGATAAAATACTCTGGTGGCTTGACCTCAGATCATGGATCACTCCAGAGATCCCTGTCCCTGGGTCGCCTTGTCCGACTTTGGCGGAGCGTTCTGTATGGGTGCTTTGGGAGGTAGGAAAGATAAGACCCTTCCTTTGACACTCCCTCTTTGACACGGCTTAGGTACATTATGGCACGGAATCAAAGGATTTAGGAATTCACCCTACGGCGAACGACGGATAGGCATGATAACAGCCATCAAGGCTCGAGCGCCCGTCACAGGAGGCAACTTTGGTGTTTGGGGCGGCATGTTCAGCACGTTCGATTGCGCAGTCAAGGGCATCCGCCAGAAGGAGGATCCATATAACTCTATCATCGCCGGATTCCTAACAGGCGGGTCGCTGGCGATAAGAGGAGGTTACAAAGCGGCCCGAAACGGCGCCATCATGTGTGCCATCTTCCTCGCTGTCATCGAGGGCGTTGGTATTGGTGTTCAACGATTCATGGCAGAGTCAACGAGACTAGATGTAAGTTGCCCAGGTAAACTTGCACGTCACTCTGTCGGTACTAACGTTTGCGGCAGCTTCCACCACCTGCACCGCCTTCAGAATCAGGGCGTGTCGCAGCATGACTGGAAATGGCTACAGTGCCACATTTCATTTGAAACGACCATCCCGGATCATTCTTGCTCCTGGAACTTCTACGGCATTGGAGCTCTATCTCGATCCTTGCAAGATTCTCTACTCTACCCCAAGATCATTTCGACTTCGTTATATTCTAACGTTGGAAGAAAGGCTTTTGCAACTGGCATAGCGGGCGAATGGACATAAAATGGGACACAGGCGAAACAATTCTCACGGTTTCTTGGAATGGCTTTAAAACTCGAAGCATTCCGCAAATCCTCCAGGGATGTCAATGTGGCAATGTCGTGTTGAGTGACAAATTGGGTTGTTGCTGGCCTGCAATGCGCTCTGGACGTGGTATTTGCGGTAGAGAGTATTGTGGGAGTCATGTCCACGGAGTACTCTCCAGGGGTGTAATATAGTGTATTATGAGCGAAAGACTTGCAAAGACAGACAAAGATGAAATCTATTCTGTTGGCCTCTATTAATGCCTGGGTGATAAATTCCTGACTCCCTAATCGGTGTCACGAGGCTGAGTTTCTGCCTTGTCAACGCAAGGGTCAATATCTCCGTCGCCGCATCTTTGGCACTGCACGGCCAATTGTTCTCTTGAAACACAACCAGCGCTTTTCTCTCCCTTTCTCTCGAGCAACTTTTCGGCCTTTATCGCGATTTCCACTTTTCTTAATTCTCCATCGCCTCCTTCTTTTTCTATTTGGGGAATCTTTATTGGTCATGCATGTTACGAAGCATGGCTCCAAACCCGTCGCCCTCGACGAACCCACTCACGAAGGATCTGAAACCAAACCCCGCGTCAAGGCCAGCGACCTTGGGTTCAATGCGCCAGACTACATCCTCGACGATGTAATCCCGATCTCAGACCCCAAGCTGTTCTACTCCAACGTCTACGCCCAGCGTGACCGGCGGCTTCGCCTTTTGATCCGGCGCTATACGAACCAGATCCAGTACGGTTGCAGAAACGTCAACTGTACCACCCCCACCTGTCTGAGCTACAGGAAGAGGAACAGCACGGGGCCTCTGAGAAAATATACTGAACTGAGTGCGAGGACGCTGGCATGTCAGTTGGTGGACGAATACAGTCGAAATGGCAAGGATTCGTTCGCCGGACTCTGCCAGAACGAGCCCGTTGTGCCGTGGTACGAGGATCCGGCCCTCGTTAGAAAAAGAAGGAATAGCCATGAGAAGGTTGGACACCTGCGACAAGAAAATGGACACCTCTCAAAGCCTCCGAGTGTTGCCACGCGTACCAAGGACTCGCTCAAGCCCATACCGACAATGGAGCACGCGCCGCGAAGAACAAGTCAGGATGGTGTGGTTCAGGCGGGCAGACGCCTGCGAGAAATAGATACAAACGCCGCCGATGACGTGGTTGACGTGTTGAACCGTACTATTACCCAAAGCAATATGGGGAGAGGGCACATCGGTGAAGACGATCTAAAGGATAACCCAGAACAACCTGCGCCGGCTCCTGCAAGACAGAAAGATCTCGCTTCGTTTACACAGACACTGTTTGATCTGGTGCCGCTGCGGCTTCTCAACTGGTTGCCAGCAAAGAACGATGCCCGCACGACCAATGTTTCGGGATCAGTCGAGCCCTCTGGCGATCGCAAACAAGCTGCTGTCGATGCCATGCCGGAAGAACTCGCTACATCTTTTGCTACATCTGTTGAAAGTACAAATACAACATCGGAGGGAGAGACAGAAGATCAAGGATGCGTGTCGCAAGAACCACCTCACCAACGGGTGTACAGCCTCCGAACACTTACCTGGATCACTCTACCCTGGCTGAAGTCTGTTGGTCCAGCCGATGACAACTATCAACGCAGATTCGTTCCCTTTATAAAGCAGAGCCTTATCTATTGCCTCAGTGACCCTGTGAGGCTGGTGGACACGGTTAAGGATCTTCAAGTCACTTATTGGAATGGACTTAGGAATTCATCCGAGCAGAGTGGTGCGGGTTCAGAAAACAGAGCCCAAGTCCATCGCATAACACCGTGGCCCATCATTTTCACCAGCACGAGATATGATATGCAAGCGCTCTTGTTCAGCTTTGCTTATATTGAGAAATTCGAGGAACGCGATCTGGTCATGAACAGCATATTGAATGCGCTACAGAACGCGTACTATCTGCCGCCATGGCTGCAAAGCAGACGTTCTACAAAACACAGTCGATCAGGCAGCGCGAGTTCCGAGTCGGCAGTGTTCAAGGGACGCCAATCCTCGGACGGCAACAGCTCTCGGAATTCACCATCGCCGGATTCTGAGGAGCTCGATATCCTCTTAGAGGCCGAAAAACCGTTGATTCCACTCAAAGACTCTCAGATAACCGACTTGTGCTTTGTGGCACTGTTATCGCTAGCAACCACTATCTTTCATGTTCCTAATGCTTCACTTTTCACTGGGAAAGACCAATTTGTCCAGTTCGCGAGGGAGAGAAACAACGGGCGTGCGCATTCGTATTGGGATGGCTTCAGAGGACGAGATCTATTGCTCGCGCGCGAGATTATCGGCATCATCGACGTTACCGAAGACTGGGCTGTCCATCGGCTGCTCACTGCTTTCATGAACGTTCTCAGCCACCGATTGACCGTGGGCAAGTGGGCGGCAACTCTAAAGAGCCCAGGCATGCCCAAGTCGAGTAAGACCACCATTGTTGAGTCGCTCATTGATCGCTTTGACCGAGACTACCTGAATGGATGGGACCGTTATGACAAGAACTGCAGTTGGATCGGAACCGCTGCTCTGGAGCTGGGAAGGACGGTCATGCTCAGGGATTGGGATCGTTCTCCCGTTATCCTCCGTGCAGGACCGGTGGGCGGTGCCCTGGAATTTTTAGCTGGATTGTACCGTGCTCGACAGCAGCTGAACTTGGATGCCGATTGGTTTCATATGCCCTTCATCGCCGACACTTTCGACGACATGTCCATGCCAGCAGAATGGCTGTCCTTTCGCCCAGACTCTCGACAAATGCATCTGCTATCTTTCTCCTTCCTCTTCCAACCACATGTTCTGGTCAAGTATTTCAGGGCAATGAACATCGCGGTTATGAAGAAGTCGCATGAGGATGCCACCATTGTATACAATGACATTAGGCAATATATGTGGGCACCCGCCATCCCCATCTACGGCGCAAAGGAAGTGCTGGCTCATCTGCGGCCTCATATGGCCAGGTACTTTGTGCTCACGATCCGGAGAAATGATATCTTGAATGATGCAATCGACCAGATATGGCGACGCCAACGCAGAGAGCTGATGCGGCCATTGCGCGTCCGCCTCGGTAAGGACGAGGGTGAGGATGGCCTTGATCATGGCGGAGTCCAGCAAGAATTCTTCAGAGCTGTTTTTGGAGAGGCGCTACGGCCAGAGTATTCCATGTTCACGGTTGACAGTACGACAAGGATGGCTTGGTTCCAGCCAGGTTCCTTCGAACCCCTCTACAGATTTGAGGCTTTGGGTATCTTGATGTCCATTGCCATCTACAACGGACTCACTCTTCCGATCACTATGCCGTTGGCTTTCTACAGGAAACTCTTGGGGCTCAAGGTGAAGAAGCTCGACCACATCGTTGACGGCTGGCCCGAATTGGCGAGAGGTTTGAAGGCACTCTTGGATTGGTCAGACGGGGACGTTGGCGACGTGATTGCCAGGACTTATGAATTCAGCTACGAGCTCTGTGGGACGACAGTCACGGTGGATATGCAGAAGATTGGGCGCCATGACCGTTGGCCACCAACAAAGTCGCAAATGAGCAAGAAGGGGAAAGAAAAGTCCAAATCGACCTCTTTCGAGTTGCCATTAGAGCCAGCGCTAACTCCGCCCCCTCAACCGTCACCCAGCCTCGGTGCCAACCTACCGAATGGTTCAATATTGAGTCGGACGTCTTCTATCGAAGTTAAGGGCATATCCACCCCCTTGAGCATTGACAGTGACATGCTGGAGAATTCTGGACAAGAAGCTGCATTGGTCACGAACGCGAACCGCGAACAATATGTTAAAGACTATATCTTGTGGCTGACGCACAAGTCCATCGAACCACAATACGAGGCCTTTGCTAGGGGTTTCTACACCTGCCTCGATCGAACGGCCTTGTCTATCTTCAATCCTGAATCCCTGAAGTCCCTCATCGAAGGATATCCCGACATTGACATTGACGAGCTCCAAATGACAACCACCTACGACGAGTATACACCCGACCATCCGACAATCCTCGACTTTTGGCACATTGTCCGTAGCATGAGCACCCATCAACACAGGCAACTCCTGGAATTCGTGACCGCAAGTGATCGAGTCCCGGTCAATGGTATGCAGAGCGTGACGTTTATTGTGCAGAAGAACGGCGAGGAGGACGCTCGACTACCGAGCAGCAGCACGTGCTACGGCCGGCTGCTGTTGCCTCAGTACTCGAGCCGGGCCGTGATGGAGGAGAAACTGACCAAGGCGATTGAGAACTGTGTCGGTTTCGGAACCTTGTGACGGTCTCGATAGGCCTTGTTCGTATTTAAACGTACTCTTCGGTACCAAGAGGAGCAAAACATGCTGCGGACAGAGAAGTTATGAGGAAAGGGGGCAGACAGTCTGACTGGGTAAAAGGCAAGGAAGAAAACAGGGAGAGAGACATAATCGGTGCCTGGTCTGAACCCAACCGTGTCTAGACGCAAAATCTCCTCCTTGACCAAGATCCTCGCAGACGGATACCCTCTCCTCTCATTCCCAAAGGTTCAACGAGACGCAGGGCGACAGCATACTCGATCCAGCGGAGTTTCTTTGCGCATCATGTGGCGTTCTGACCATAGATGGGGAAAATCCATACCAGCGCTATTAGCGATTGCACCCTTCGGGAGGATATGCGTGGCACACGACAGAAGATATCGTGGCAGGACGAAGGCGATGGATTTTTTTTTTTGGATGATATAGATCAGGGTCATCCATCATTCCGACCTGAAGCCCCTATTACCCCCGCGGGCCTGGTGGAAAGGGACCCGGTAAAAATGATCTCGGCTCATAATGACATACATGAATGGATGGACGAGAGAGGGTGAAACGTTTCGGTTGGAGTATCATGAAATGATGAACGACCGATCAGGCAACCCTGATCGGTATCCAGGACTGTGAACTCTGGACTCTGGACTCTAAACTGAGGACATGGATTATCGTACTGAGCTACCGAGTCATCGAGTCATCGAGTATATATAGTATGTATAGTATATATACCCGCATCTCCTCTCAGCTCCGCTTCGCGACGCGGCCGGGCAGAGAGGGGAGGTGTGTCAATCAATTGACTAATGAATCAATCTGGACCTATCGATTCAGTGGTACGCCTCTCTTGAAAAGTGATTGAAAAAACGGGATAGCAAGCTACATGAAAAGTAGTAACTCCTGGGCATGCCTCGCTCTGATACCATACATAAGCCAAATCCGTCAATCGACTGGTCGATTTATTCATGCAGTCCTTGATAATCTTGATCGCTAGTTCCTGTAGGTCCATTCACTCATTTCCGGTCATTTCAGGCAGGATAAGTAAAACAAAGTTCACACAAAACGAATTTTGCTGCTTCGTGGATAGAATCAGCAATAGGGGAGAGTAGAGGGAAAGGAGGCACAGGAAGCAGAGGGAGAGGGACAGAATATGGGTGTCGTAGTCAACGAGTGCCGGTGGCTGCGACGACGTCCTCGTCTTCCTCCTTCCTGCCCCTCCCTTTGCCTCGAGTGACAATCTCCCTGGCCGTCTGCGTGAGGCTGATACCGCCAAAAAGCCAGTCGTCACTGTGCCGTCCATACCCACCAGGCGAGCTCCCGCTGTGCCGCGACTTCTTCTGGATCCAGCCGTGGTCGCGTTTCTGCAGGTCAGGGGATGTTGGGGGGCTCATGGTCGATGGAGAGATGGCGCTGTCAGAGGTGTGTCTCTTCTGCGTCCGTGCATGGTCTTGGGGAGAAGAAGGGCTCGGGGCAGGGAGTGGTGAGGTCTGGACGTGCTTGAGGTTCGTCGGTGTTGTGGTGATTGTGGTGGGCGACGGAATGCTGACGTCTATAGGTGGTGGTCTCGGTGACTTAGACCGTGATCGCATCCTTGTGAAGTGGAAGGGGAAAGAGAATGGGGCTTTCGCTGTAGGTGACAAGGACTCGGTCGACAACGGGGAGAGTGTGGTTGTGGGAGACAAAGTTCGCGTAGGCGTGATGGCATAGTGTGACTCGTCGCTCACACTGCGACCTTTCATGTCAGGTTGGTGAATGGGAGCTGCTGGTGTTGCTGTTGTCGCTGTTGTCATAGACTGGGGGTTCATTTTGAGCGCATAAAGAGGAAGAGGAAGCTAGGAACAGAAAGCGTTGACGGGTCATAAGATCGAGCACATCTTCATGGCAAGCAGGCGTTGCAATGATTTACCTTCAGTTGAGGGACGTCTTGACACAACTTACACTGTCTGGGGGGTGGACCGGTTATGGCCAACTCGGTCGGCGTGCCCAGAAGATCCAGCCCTGCATCTGCATGCTCTCAGGTCTGCAATGATCTGACGATGGACGATTTGGCAGCCAAGGATCGCGAAACGGACGGCCATGTGAGAGGCTGGCAGCGTATCGATGAAAGCGAATGCTGATCGATACGAACCAAAGGCCTTTTTGCTGCTTGCTTTCACCCTCCAGCCTGACTCTTTGCTCTTATTGGACTCATCCGCGTCTGCTCTAGACATGGTCCTGTTCTCCACCCAATCATGCCAGGCCACATTCTCACAGGCGACGCCTGCTGCGCACCTGTTTTTCAGTCACCTTTCCCCGTGACGCTGCACACCGGTTTGGGCTGCGTTCAACCAGGACTTGGCTGGAACCTGCGACCAAATGCATCCGCGGCCGGAGGCGAGTTTGCAGGCGAATACCCCACGCTGAAACCAATGGCGTACGTTGGGCCCAGAGGGGTGAAGTGGAGCGTCTTTTCAGCCGCACTCTTGGGGACGGAGTTGGTTCCAGAATTCCTGCATGCGTCCGCTCAGGAGAAGAGGGAGGCGCATCTAACAGGGGTGACAAGTGCGTGATGGCCGAGAGCGGATGGGCTGGCACAATCATCTTGCTCAAGTCAAGCGACTGTTGGTCACCGACTGCAAGTACTCAGCATTAGCATATTGCGTCAAGGAGGGCCTTTGGATGTACTTGGTGAAGATTGATGCCTGCAGCCTAGGGGAAGTAGTAATGTAAGGCCACCCAAGAGGGTTAAATGGTTGGGAGATGGTAAAGTCTGGGGACTTGCTAAGACCTTTTGGCGCAGCTTGTGCAGTTTTGCAGACTGCGCAAACTACGCCCGATGGCCCCGACTCAAAGTCTCTTGTCGCTCGGCACTTTGACTCTGGAATTCTTTTCCCTCAAGAACACATAATAACCCTCTCATCAAGTCCTTTCAGACAAACTCTGTACATGGGTGCTGGATTTCTGTGAGCAACAATGCATGGATCTCGAGCCACGCTTACACGACGATCCTCTCGCCGTCAGTGACCATCCACCAAAACCACCATCTTCACCCCAGGAAGATGGTTATAGTCCACCGACAATCGATCAGTCACACGATGTTGCCCTGGTATTGACAGCACTCGATCAATCCTACAATTGCCATGGGGTCTGTGATGCAAAGATCCTGCTCTGGGGTTCCCCAGGCTGTGGGTGAGCCAACGCCCTTTTCTGCTCTGCCTGCTCGTCTAACAAGTGACGATCTCTAATACTGCTACAGCAAGCGTCGTATTGCTACTGCGGCTGCTCTGGAGTTTTCCGCCAGGACGGGCTGCAAAATCTTATGGATAGATGGACGTGCTTTCGAGTATTTCATCCGCGACTATAGAGCGGCGTACACCACCATTACTGGACAGCATCTTCCACAAGGTCTGACTTTAACCCATACTCTCCTGAAGATTAGATCCACACTGGAAGCTCGCCGGGATGAGCTTCTCATTGTCGTCTTCGACCTCCAGTCCTACTTGGAAGAGGATATGGAAAATGAACTAAAGATCAATGACCTCTTTCTGCCAGACCGCTGTCGCCTACTCTTTACATCTTCGTATGTCCTTCCAAGAGCGACCACCAGCCATGAACATGAATTGCCCATGGAATGCGGATTGAAGCTCGCCAATCGGGCGACATGTCTGCATGTCGGCGCACTCAACGAGGAACAAGCCGAACAGTATTTCAGAGCCGCAGTACCGAACAGCATCGATGCGGTCGACTCTCTCCGTGCTTTCTGGCACTCCCACAAAGATCCGTGGTATACTGCTCCACTTTGCCTTGCGCTCTCTTGTGGTTGTATGCGCTTGCTGCAGATATCCCCTGGTAATTTTCAACAACTATGCGCATATAAGGCTAAGGAAGGCTGTACTCCCACATTTCCTGGCTCCGGTTCAATTCTGGCAAACATAATGTCTACTTTATGGGACGCATTGAATGACTACGATATTGCCGCAAGGCAGTTGCTAGCAATCTGCTCAGTCGTCGATCGAGAGGATATTCCCGTTGCTATTGTTGAAAAGTTCCCAATGTTTCAGAACAGTAGAGGACGGCTTCACTCAACCCTTGACTTACTCCGTCTGAGTGGGTTAATTGAGATCGATCAGGGAACTGAGCTTGCCACTATCAACCTTCACCCTCAAGTGCACCGTTGGCTGCAACTAAAACGCCGAAAAATCGAGGACAAGCAGGAGTTGACATATCTCGTCCACACTTGGATCTCTGTGCTCAGCGAATACCTCACCAAACCAGAGCATGAGCCGCAGGAGAATGGTCCCATCTTCGATCCCGATAAATTCTGGCGGATGCTCGGTCACATAATGGCGCTTTGCAATCTCAAATCAGGGCAAATTCGACAGTTTTGCAGCCTGCAGTACATGACGTTTCTTAAGCACGTCGCGACATTCCTTGTCGACGACGGTATCTTCCCAGGCTTGGCTGGTGTGACTATCACTCATGCTCTCAACATGTGCACCCATCAACAAGGTCGCCACCGTCGTAGTGTAACACTTTACCGCGAGTATGTCCAAATTCGTCAAGTGAGGGCTACCGCCTTTATGAATGTATCAGATTATAGTCAAGCTGTGAATGAACTGCGGGAGGCGAAGCGAGTTGTTGGTCGTCATCTACCAGACGAGGCCAGCAGCAGACGGATCTTGCACGAGATTGAGGATGCAGAAGCACACCTTAGTGTTGTTCAGATGGATTGGCCTGAAGCCGGCCGAATTCTCACCCAACTGCTGGCCACGCCGGAATTAAACAATGCTTCATACAACCTCGCGCAGCGACACCATTGGATGGCGCGGTATAAGGCAGGCATAGGCGGAGATATTGGCTCCTTGGAACATTCGCAGTACGTATTCCCCAAAAGCACTATATCGCCTTTCATCAGAGGCAAGAGTGTCGATCGCTCCCACAAACCTACCGATTGCTAAATAGAAACCAGCATGACCATGTCATACTGGAGAGAGCTGCCATATGACGAACAATGGGGCTATAAAGACATCACGATCCTGTATTGGGTAGAAAAACACATGCTGGACCTAATGACCATGAGAAAGTACAAAGGTGCCCTCCTCTTCGGTACACGACTACTCGAGAGAGCGTACGACCTGACGCCGGTTCTCGGAGGCTCCGTCTGCCGCTTAACTTACCGAATCGTATACTGCCAGTGCATGCTAGACATGGCTGACGATGCCGAAAGAGCAGTGTGTCGACTTCTTGAACTGCCTTCCCACGACACATATGGAGATGACACCAACGGGGCTTATCTGCTGTATATGTTGTATGAGCTTGCGGTAGTGCTGCAGCGCAGTGGGAGGGCCGTGGAGGCCGAAGGTTTGTACAGATTCAACATACAGACGTCGAAGCTCTACGACATTAAAGATCTGGGCGGCACCGAAAAGTATGACAGTTGGCGTGATCATGTTCAATTGATCATGTGTCTCATCGAGCAGGGGAAAGTGTTGGAAGCCCTAAAACTCAAGGAGGAATATGAGCATGAGAATCCGGGCAGAGAGTTTTCAAACTCCGTCATCCAGAACAGCTGGGCCGCTTATCGTCAATCGAAAGAGTTATACATCAGGGCGGTCGAAGCTGAAAAGGCCGGGACTTCTCTGGAATTCAAGGCATCTCTTGATTTGGCCGAGCGTCGGCCAGCATTAAAACGGGCCGTGAGATGGTTTGGAAGTCCGAAGCACCGGGTTGAGGGGGACAAGGACTTTGAGAGCGACATTGATTTGCACGACATCGGACGGGCGCGGAAAAGTCGTCTCCTCCACCTCCTTGACTTCCCTCTCGTCTATCTAGCTTTCCGTCGATCCAGGGCTTCTGTCGACAATACTAACAATGAGTTTCTGTGGGCGAATGTTCGACAAAGCGTTCTCGGGCAGTATTGGAAATATTGTGATTGCAAGAGGAAGAGACGACGCAGTCAAAGTGTTCAGGGGTTAGACGGTTTCGTGGCCAAGCTAAAATGCGACAATGAAGACTTCAAACCGAGGAAGCTGAAACAAAAACTCATCACGGACTGGGTTATAAGGACGCCAGGCGAGAGCAAGCCTATTTCAGCAGGTTGTGGACCCAGTTGTCCATGCATCGAAGCCAACAAAAGAGGTCTCCTCGAGACTTCTGCTCTGGAATCAAAGCTTTACTTGTGGGAGGAGCTGACCCCCAAAAAGCGCTCGTCCAAGGATCGACCCAGGTACCGAAAGAGGAAACCAAACCGATCACCGGTTTCAGAAGACGAATTGTTCATTCTCATCCCACCTAATACTTTGTTGTGGATCCAGTCCGAGTTTGCGAATGGGGAATCTGAAGGAGAGAATTATATCATTCCACGAGCAACTGAGATTCCGGGAATAGCCATCACTCCACCTGAAGGGGAGATAGATCTCATGTCGCTTCCTACACCTACCCAAGAGAGAGTGACAAAGTATTACCAAAGGGACTATACGGCAGACTTTGCTTCCGTATTGGAGAAGCAAAGGACCGAGTTGTTTAGCCCGACACGTTTGGATGACATCTTGGAGGACGACGAAGACGAAGGGGATACAGCGTGAAGTTGGACTCAGGGTGGATGAGGATACCCTTGGCTCGTGCATGTATCGGATATTACTATCATGATTAGATCCCTCAATCAGCAAACACAATCAGCAGCGAATGAAGAAGAGACGAAAGGAGTACCATATATTTGTCCTTATAAAGTGAATACCCAAGAGCATTCCCAAATAGGAAAAGACGATAATTGCGTCTGGCATTCCATTGGCTTGGCATGACGTCAGTTTCGTGGCCCAAATGGCGATGGTCGATTGGACGGGAACATGACAGGAATCGAGGAACGCCGACATCAAATCGACTCCATCGTCGGACCAACTGAAGTTCCCGAATACGACGATGATTCCCATCTCGCCATGTTCTTTCGATGTTCCTCATATTATCTTCATCCCTGATTCTAATCTGGAGATGGAAGATTGCGCACTTCCTCGTGAATCCGTACTACTCCCAACCCATAGCTGACACCTCCCAAGTCAATATGTCCTCTAACCCAACCTTCACTTCTTCCTACTCTTCCACTTATGTCTAATACTCTGCTCTTTCTATGTACATAGTTGGCTTTTCACGAATTTGGATCATGACTCAAACAATATCTTGTCCATGGCCACTTCACACTCCCCCTCTCTCCTGAGCCTGGCATCATCGCCGCCAATCTTCATCCTTCCAACGCACTTGAAGCCAGAAGAGCTTCATGACACCGAAGACCTGGTCGTTCAAGCGGGCGGCAAGTTGACATATGACACCAAAGAGGCAAGGATATTCATAGGCAGAGTCGCCCAGAAGAAGCGCGCCGCATTCGATCTTCGGGCGAGGGGAGTGTGGACAGAAGAGGCAGCCTTGCCGGAGAGGAGTACCGACGGAGAAGCAGGTCATGGACAGGCTGACGTGGAGGTTCCGGCGAGGAAGAAACTCAAGCTTGCGGACCATGTTGGTAGTGACCGGCGTTCGACAAGACATAGACGGACCAGCTCGAGCACAGTTTCACCATCCT